CTTGGGCAACAATTAAGAAATGTTTTTCCTTACAGGAAACAGGATGAATAACTTCCATAGTCCCAAAGCACAGCATCTTAAAAAGCCAAGCAGATAAAGTAAAGGCACAAACTTTCAGGGAACAGACCAAACATAGGATTAGAAGCAGGCAGGGACACATCTGCACCAGGTCTGCACACAAGAATATTGTTCAAAGTTCGAGCTGTAATCTCAGCTTTCTTTCATTTTTAATTAATTAATATAGTACCACAAAGCAGAATGCATGCACTATTCTTACTAAGGATAACACATTACATCTGCTTCTGCTGCTTCCATTTATTACTTGATAGACCAGATTCTTAGGGTAGTTTTATTTTAAACCAAATACCAGAAAGAAAAATTCATCTTATAGCTGTCAATGCACAGCCCAGCTTTCACCACCCAGACAAATAAGTATCTCATCTTTAACCATGACACTCTCTTGGAACAGAACATGCTTGGAAAGCCCACATGAATACAAGGAACACAACTGAACATCATTTCCCCCGTCCATTTAAAAGGCAATTCAGTCATTCATTCTCATGTAGAAGTTAGAGAAGAAACATGCAAGGCTGTTAGCAGGTAAAACAAATTTTCTAATACATGTAGGCATAGATTTTCATCCTAAGAATAACATGTATCCTAATTACTTTATCTTTAGAACTGTCCTGTTCAATACCCCTGAAGATAAAAAACTTTCCTGTTCATTTCTACATCTCAGAGTGCCTTTGTGCATTACTTTCACTGAAGACCTTACATGAAAGGAGCAAACAAGCACAACTCTTTCACTGATTTAGCAAGGAAAGAAAAGCAACCTCAGACAAAAATAAAATCTTCTGACTCCACTGTGTGCAGTAACTGCTGAGTTTTACTCAAAATGACTCTACATGTCCTCATATCTGAGGCTATTTTTTCTCCATCCCTACATTAGACATGATAGTTACTTTAAGTTTCTTCTGAACCACACCACAAATGGTCTGGACTACTGCAAGAATACTAATACACAGATGTGACTGTTTTAGTTGAGACTGGGAAATACAGAGAATAATTTTTCACAAGAGCTTTGCCTTCACATCTGGAGGTGTTTACAAACTCTTCTCAGAATTTTCAACTCCAGAGCTATATCCTTCCCCAGAAGTGATACATTTCTTTTTAACAAGGAAGCAGGCAAAATAAATCTAATATATATACCCACCTCCCTCTGAACTGAATGTACACACTTTTTTGCAGAGCTTTGTGCCGTAGTGGCAGTTAATAGCACTGCAAATTAAGCACAAATTACTTTTTCCTTCCTTCCTAAAAATGCTTTAAGAAAACAGTGCAAAGACCAAACAACCTGAAACTAACAGCCAAGTTCTCACAGCTTCCAGAATCTGACTCCTATAACCCTCAATTTATTTCAGCTAACAATTGTTTTTTTCTTAATACACTGGTATTACAAACCTTCTATAGGAATTATTTAATAATTGTATAGAGATGCAATTCAGTGGTCATGACCTTCCTGTGGGAACCACTGGAGATTTTCAGTGAAGCAAATACAAGGTGTGCTCACAGGTCTGGTGATAAAAAAAAAGCTTCCAAGTCATCAAGGACTTCCATACTTGATTCCAGAATGCAAGAATGAACAGGGCCCACTTGTGACTTGCTCAGTATTTTGCTTTTTCTGACAAGTAAAGCATTCCTGAAAAAATATGCAGAGGTCATGTTAGCCCTGTCAATATGTTTTACTGCTCATAGGCCAGCAAGCAAATCCTTTAGTGAGCATGAGTCCCCATCTGCATTTAGTACCATTTAAATTAAAATTTATGGGTTTACTAACAGAGGTGAATTTTCTGTGAAGCATAACCAAGTTATCAATAGATTTAAACTGTATTTTCCTTGGTATAACTTTGCTGTCTAAACCTTCACCTGCCTTCATCTCCTTTCAAAATGGTATCTTCCCAACCTATCACACTGATTACATCGACCCTTCTCCTCTCCTATCACCCTGAGCTGTGTTTGATTTACTATGTGAAATACAATTAAAATCATTTCATAATATAGCTCCACCCTGACCTTAATTGAATATTCTGGCATATCAGGAATCTCATCAAGTTATGGCATCAACATATCTATCTAAAATTCCCCATTAAGAATGAGCAGCCAAATCTATAGCCAAGATTATTTTTAAAAATTCCAATTCTTGTGGGGCTGTTTCTATTTCAGAAATCAGTGCCTGCCATCATAAGTATAAATTCTCTGGAGAAGAATGTGTCTACTGCCATTGTTGTTCATGCATGCAACATCTAATTCAAATAAAACTACAGGAAAAACAGCCATGGCTTTAATATAAGGTCAAAGTGTGAAAATAGACCAACTTCTAAAGAGCCAAACAATACGTCAGTAACATTCAGGCCACTCAACCCTTTTCAGCAATCTCATAGTCACAGATGATATCTGGTAAGTTCCTGCTAAAATGCAATCTTGTTTACTCGAAAATACACATTTCTCCCATACCTCAGTACTGGGCTTAATCAGAAGAATTATCAATAGAGTTCTTCATTGCTAACTGCTTCTAAAAAATCGCATGCTTGAGTGGCATTTCAAGTAAAAAAGCCAACATTTCAGCCAAAGTGTATTGGAAATCACATCTTCCAAACAAGCTCTTGGCCCCTTTTTTCCATTACTGCTACTTCTCTAATGGCTTAAGTTGCTGTGTGAACTAGAAACTTTGCAGCTGACTCTGTGAAAGTTTGATTGTAATCAAACACGATACTTCAAACATATGCAAAATACAGGGGTAGAGAAAAGCCAAAGAGTATTTATAAATAGAAATTTCACCTGTGATAGCTTGCATAAGAACACTGACTAAGATTACTTAAAATTAATAACGACTTCGTGTAGCACTACAAATGCCAAATACCTGAAACACAGATTGCACATCAAGTCAATACCATTTTCAGTAGCTTTGACAGGCAGATTTTTCTGATCAGCTCCAGATAAGCTTGTAACTGAGTCACTACTGCCTGCTTCCATGAGAACACAGGCCTAACTAATTTCCTTTTCTATACATGCTCTTGTATCTACACATTTGGATATTTCACAACTGCAACAAGAGCATTAACTCAGTTATTTTCTACAGTATAATTACACTGCCTGGGTTTGGCCTCGTGCCTTAGAACACCCTTGCAGTGATGACCTAGAAAGACACCATCTAGCTGGTCTCACTGCTCCAGGGCAGCACAGCAGAACAGCAATAACAACCTGAACAATGTTCACTGTTGCTCTACGCTGTTATATGTAGGCAATTCTTAAAACACTTGTAGCTCGCTAAATTACAGCCTGCTTACGCTGTCAAGTTACTAATTGACTAATCAACTCTCAAACAGCTCCACTCCATGCCACCCAGAACTGAGCCCCGGAGAGTAATGCAGCTGGTTATGACAGTCAAAGGCTCTAAAGGCCACAGAATCCCGTGAAACCTTAAGCAATGTCTTCAAATCCATAGATTTGAAAAATCACAAGTTAAATGGCCCTAAAGGATTTCTTGCTTACTTCTCAAAAACACAACTTTGAGCTTTTCCTCCTGCAGTTTTAGTACATTCTGGTTAGACCTCAAGCTTTTCTTCAGAATCATCACAGCTAAGAAGCACTTTATCTGACTGAAAACTAACTTTTTCAAGCAGGGATGTTTCAAAAAACATAATTTTATCCTGTTACTTTTGCCATTAACATTCCCACCTACACAGCAACAATACACAGGATAAAAAGGAACCAAAATAAAACAAAATGTGATTTGCATATTAATAACATGCAAATAGGAGCCTGTGTAAAGTCTACCAAAGTTAACAGAAGGACTGACACTGCCTTCCACACCACTTGGATCTGGCCAACAGTGAAGAAAGATATGCAAAAAGAGAGAGGGTGGGTGCACTGCATCCTGCCAAGTAAGCACTGCTGCCTTAAACCAAAGGGAAAGCAAGGCCTGTACCAAGAAAGGGAACGATGTGGGAGTTACAGAAAAGACTTCAAAAGAAAATTTTAGCGAAACACCAACACGGCTGCAAACCTTGAAACAGATTCACTTGTAGGAAATCAAACATCTCACAATAAATCACCAACACTAATGCCATACAGCAAACTTGCACTGTCTGCAACATCAGGTTCCTGCTCCCATTTTACAAACACAGTAATATATATTTTGCATGTATATGTGCTTTGCAGTCATCGACTGCAAATCATCCATTTGTGTAATTCTAGGAACTTAGAAGCAGTTGATCTGTACACAGGAAGTATAAAAATATTCTAAAGTGGAAAAATCACTTACAGCTAACACAGATAAACATTCTTCTAGACTGTCAGCCCTAGGCTTTTAACATTTACCAGTAATTTCTGTAAGGACTATATAGAGCTTATGAGAACGTTCTGGCATATCAGGAATACCATTAAGTTAGGGCATCAGTGTAGGTATCCAAAATTTCTCATCAAGAAGGAGCAGCCAAATGCATAGGATTCCAAATAAGGAATATCACAAGATTCCAGCTAGGGAATCACCACACCTGTTCGGGCAAAATAGGTAAAGTCGGTAAAATCCATTTCCTCCAGATGAAACTTACAAACTTGTCACATTTCACAACACCAGAGTGACGAAGAAATTAACAACACCCAGCAATACACAGTGTACTGCAGGCCAAAGCTCGGCCGTTGTCACATCATTTTAAAGACTAAGAAAAAATTAAAATTAAAAAAAAAAGTCCTAGGAACACCTCCTAGATTAGTTGCAAGACGACAACACTAACAGGACAGGGCAGGGTCCAATGTAACACTGAAGGCCACCAGAAATCCCCGCGCCCCCGGACCCCCCCGCCCCGCAGGTACCGCGGGCAGGAACCGCCCCGTTAATGCTCCTGAAGGCCCCAACAACGAGCAACCTCACTAAGTTAATTAATAGCAACACACTCTCTAATTGCGTGCCCTCTCTGGTGACTCACTCAAAGGCTCACCCCTGGGGATGGATGGATGGATGAGGAGGCTGAGATGTGCAGGGGAGGAAGGATGGAAGGAAGGTGGGAGCAGCTTGTGGTGCCCGGTCCCCCCCACCCCGTGTACGGACAGCCGAGAGGGGAAAGCGAGGGGCAGGCACTCAACCTCGGTCCTTCCCCTCCACGCGCTGCCTGGACCGAGGCGAGAAACGAGGGGGACGGAAAAGCGGCGGCGGCTTCGCGATATTCCCCCCGCCCGCCACGGCCGCCGAGGGAGGAGGAGGGGGGGGTAAAATGGCGCCGCCCGCGCCGGGGAGGAGCCGGTTCCGCCACAGCGGCCGCCCCGCAGATGGAGGCGGGGGCGGCGGCGCCTCCCAGGGCGCGGGGAGGAGCCGGGGCGAGGCGGGGCCGCCGCCGCTTCCTCCCGCCTCCCTCGGCCCGCCGCTCGCAGGATCGCCGGGGGTTAATGCGTGTGAGTATCGCAAAGGCGAGTGACTGGAGGATGGCGCCGGGCTCTTTACAGTGATGCCCAGCGACAGGACGAGAAGTGGTCATAAAATGAAACACAACAAGTTCCGCCTAGACACGAGGAAGAACTTCTTTACGTTGAGGGTAACAGAGCACTGGAGCAGGCTGCTCAGGGATTTTGTCCCTCTCTGGAGACATTCCAAACACACTTGGACGCGTTCCTGTGTCACCTGCTCCAGGTGATCCTGCCTTGGCAGGGGGTTCGACTGGATGGTCTCCAAAGGTCCCTTCCAACCCTAACAATTCTGTGGTTCTGTGAACAATACAATCAGTTAGATTGGAAAAGACCTCTGAGATTGTCGAGTCCAACCTATGACCAATCTGCACCTTGTGAGCCGGACCATGTCCCTCAGTGTCACATCCAGTCTTTCCATAAACACCTCCAGGGATGATGTTGCAGGTGCTGCCTGATAGGCCATGACCACCTTTTCCTTCCCCTTCAGCCCCAGGCATCGCTGGAGGGCAGCAGGAAGGGGCTCCAGGGCTGTTGTGACTCCAGAAAGCCTGGGGATTTTGCGGAGAGACAGCTGGATCTCCCTGCAGCAGGGAGGTGTGGGCATACACAGGTGTCTGGCCTCAGCACAGGTGCCTCACCCTCATCTCTGCAGCCACAGCCTCATACAGGTGTTCAAAAAGAGCAGTGTGGACAACAGCAACCTGTGTTTGTCTTTACCCCTGGAAACACCAATGGATCCTACTACAGCAATACCCAGTTGTACCATTTCAGCCATGACATTAATAGTTCAAAGCTGAGCCAGGAGATTTAGGCTAGACATTACTGAGAGGGTGGTCAGATACTGGAATAGGCTTATGGAAAGGTGGTTGATGCTCTACTTCTCTCAGTGTATAAGAGGTATTGGACAATATCATTATGCCTTAACTTTGGCCATTCTTTAATTTTGGATCAATCCTGACATGGTCAGGCAGTTGGACTGGATGATTGTTGTAGGTCTCTTCCAGCTGAAATACTCTGTTCTTTGCTGTGTTGATTCAGTGCATTGGTGTGGTTACATACTCATGTTTTCCTCTTGATTCCTGGCAATGGTGGCTTTCCTCTTTCTATATCCTGCCAGCTCAACGTATTGATGGGGAAGGACATGACTAGGCGAGCTGGAGCTTTAACCTTCCTTTCTTTTACCATTTCCTTCCTTGGACACCTCCTAATAGTAGGTTTCTGTGAGTTTAGGTCGGTCGTTCTGCTCATCTCATGCAGGTTTGTTGGGAGACAGGCTGATATGTCCCATGGTATAAAGTGGAACTAATAAATGGGACCAACAGAGGTAAATGGAGTAACCATTAAAAAAGTTTGACTTAAAAAGTCTTAATTTTTTCAAAAGTTTGTGGGGTGTGTAACGTCAAAAGTTATGCTCTTTTACTTTGCCGTCCTTAGTCCCTTTTAATCTAAATCCCTGCCTACTCACCAAACAGGATTCATATCATTTCACTAGGATTCATTCTAAGAAACCGACAGCTTGGAGACTTTGTAATTTTATGTAAATCTCAGCATTTTACTTCTTTGGGGGTCTGGATTAAAAAAAAGGAAGAAAAAAGGTCTGGCAACCACTGCAGTGATCTTAACACTCGAGGGATCAGCTGAATTCCAGTTTAGTAGAAAGTAATCTTATTTTCTTTTTCCCCTAGCTGACTTCTGCTGCCCTTACTTTTTTTTTTGGCTACCACTCACTCCCAGTCCTTCTTGCTACTTCACATAAACATTCTGTCAGTCCCTCTGCGTTGCTTCCTCCCTGTTCCCACCTCCCACATCAGCCTCAGAAAGACAAGGTGATTCTGCAAGTTGCTGCCAAGTGCTGCCAGCCCCTCTCCCTTCTGCTGCTTCTGCTTACAATTATGGAAGTAAAACGGATACCAGCCTGAGCACTGACAGCAACAGGGCAAAACACCAAGATATTATCCTAGAGAATGAGAGGCCTCACTCTGCTGATTCTTGCCTGCACAGCAAAGTCTTAAGTCATTGCTATGAGGAGGATGGCCTGAGCAGTTCCTTCCTGCTACACATTTTAAAATATCTGGGCAACCCAAGCCAAAGCAGGATTATCAATAAGCATTTTCCTGGCGAATAGGAGAATCAAAACATTCTGTCAGGTTATGAAAAGTTCTGCAGGAAAGCTCGAGGCGACTTGAGTTTTTAGCCAAATTCTGTGATTTGTCAGAACCTTACATTTAAACTGAAGGAGGCAACACAGCATATTACTGACGTTTCTATGCATATCTTTATGTATCTCGGAATTGAGGACAGAATAATATAAGAACATAGAAAAAATAGAGAAATTACTACACCAGTTCCATATGGTAATTTTAATATGGGAATTACTGGGATTATATGGTTGAGCATGTCCAGTGTGAACTACATAACTTCCACGAGCTTGGATAGAGGCAGTGTGACTTGGTGAGGTGCCTGAAAAAGCACTGACAGAAACATTTCCTGACAAATTGTGTTGCTGTGCAGAGCCCTTTTGCCTGCAGTGAGAGGTTACCAGTTCATGAGGGATTGAAGCTCCTGCCTGATGATGAGCTGGGCTGATGAGAGCACATTCCCCCTGTTGCCACTTTTATAGGTGATAACTCCTGGGAGAATAATTGAACAAGACAGATACCTACTGGCTACGAAATCCAAAGTCAATATGAGAAAATCTGCTAGAAGACAGGAGGAAAGAGCATTGACATGTCCCTTCTAGCACTATGCCTTTGTATAGCTGTCTAGTAAAAGTGCAGAGGCTGTTGCCTGCTTGAGTCTGAATTCTTACAATACTTGTAAAAAGGGAAAAAAAAACATGATCAAATTTTTTTATGTATTATACAGAACGAAAAAGGGCACAAAATTGTTTCCCCCTTCTCAGGTCACCTTTCAGATCATGAGGTCATTATGAACTGTCTCAGCACTTTCACAAACTGGAGTCTGCTCAAACCATAATGCTTACAAAGTTTCACTTTGAATAGGCCTGATTTTCTCTGTCATTTGTTTTCACTTTTTATTTCTCTGCAGAACATAAAAAGTCAGAAAAAGATTTTATTTTCCCCCTACATAGCATATAATTTACATCAATCATCCCAGGAGGTCAGTACCACTGGGGTGTCATTTAAATACAATGAATATAAAGTAATGAAGCTCTTGCTGGAGTGGATGGCCACAATTCTCGGAGAGAGAGAGAGTTTCCAAAGCATGTGGAGAAAACACAACGGGAGACCGAGTGAATTCATCACACCACAAAAATGTCTCCATCCTGTCGACAAAGTCATTAAAGGAAAATGAACCATTGTTACTCTAGACGCTTGCATTCCTCCAGTATAATAACCTCAGTATAGAAGCATTGGGGCAAAGAGAATTTGCACACACAGGAGAAAAAAAAAACTCAATCTATTAGAAAAAAAAAAATCCAGATTATGTAATGAAAGAAATCCTCCATGCTCCAAGAGGAGACGGAGCCTCTGCAGAAGCCACAACTAATAAGGAACCTTATGCAGTGGTACAGGGCGGTTTCTTTTCCTCCTGCCAACAAGTCAAAGTAAATGCCAACCCTGACAATTTTTTTCAGATAACCCACAAATTATGTTCTCCTTCAATTACATGAATGTTTCTACCCTTTGCTGATCCATAGCCATCCTGGTTTTTAAGATCCCTTGTTGAGATTTCTCCAGTACCATTTCCCTTTTCATATTCATTTACTTCCAGTATTTTTTTCAGTTACCACTAAAGCAATCTGTGAGGAATGCAGAGATTAGAAAAGTTTACCGTGTTCATTTTTATTTACTTTTTTGGCAAAGGATGTCCAAATAAGAGAAACTGTCACATGTCTACCGTAAATCATAGCATATACGAGTTTATGAAAATAGATTGTACTTCTGTGGATCTCCCTCAAGGAAATACCACTTTAAAGCCAACCACCGTGCAACCCCTGGTCAGAAAAGGTAGCCTTAGAGAGCTGCAGGAAAAATCCCTCCTTTATTGTAAATTGGTGTGGCAAAGGCCTCTTTACCATACTAATTAAAACAGAAACATGCTAATTAAATTACTACCTTTAATTGTGAAAACCATATAACAATGTAATGGATAGATTACTTTTTTTTTAATACAAAAGGACTACCTTGTTTTAAGCAAATATTGAAAGGGAGATCTGTTCTTTATTTATTTTTAGTAACTGCATGGGAACAGGGAGCCTACTAAAAAGGGAGCAAGCTACTGAGGAAACACATGCCAGAAAACACCAACTCATACCTGTTAATTACAACAAATATGCTCGCAGACAACAGCAAGAATGCTATTTATCCATCATTTACAGCCACTGAAGCGCAGGGAAAGGAATTGGTTTGCTGGCAAATATCCCAATTAATTGGGCGTGCTATTTATTAGGGTGCTGATTAAAGTGTACTCTGCAATATAATAGTTGAGTATAAAGTTGCCAACTCTTATTCACTCCTGGCTCGTAGGGATGAAAGCAGGAGAGCAGACTAGCACAATATGAAAATAATTATGTATTCCATGCCAAAATGGATTTGAGGCAATTCCAATGGCTGGAAATTAAAGACC